TTCAATAGTAGCACTTTATGTACAGACATCGTTATTTGAGGGTGGACTGGCAGGAGTGTGAATAATGAGGAGTGTCGATTTCAATCAGCAACTGTGCCACCCTATACAGGTAAAGGCATTCAACCAAGAAAGAATGTTACTAAATTAAAGCACTAAAAGAATTCAATATCTTATTAGTCAGTCGTCTACCCATTGGTCTTATAATCAATCTAAATGCAGTTACTTAGATTTTATTATCTTTTTGATAAGTGTTCCACAAATTCCTTTTGTTTGAAATCATTTAAATGTTGCGAGATGGGTCGATTTATTCGTAAAATTCGAACTGAACCTTTCAATGCTGTAGCTGCGCTTCAATTCTAATCTGCAATTTTGTAGGCAGAAAACCAACGGAAAGTGTTATTTTTATGTGGCAGCGGTGGTGGCGACACTTTAACGTCACACAATGACTGTCACTTAGCCTGAATTAGCGTAGTATATGAATTGGTTGTATTTGCCTCAGGCTCATGCATTAAGTTTTCTTTTTTATTGACACACCTTATTTAGATGTGCATAAAAATTAAATCAGTTCAATTAGGTACAGAAATTGTGCAATGCATTGATATTTTTGCACTGTGAGTATTCTTAACTGCATGATTATATGTTAATGTTATGTACATTTAAACACCTAAAACGATTTTATGGCAAGAAAGGTGAGATTTGTAATTGCCTATCATCGCTTCACTTATTCTGAATAAAATTGTCTACTTAAACCATTTAAGTAAGCGTTTGATTATATTTAGCATCATTAAATACAAGAGCATTGACCGACTTTGCAAAAAATGCGTCAGGAGAATCAAGAGAACGACACAAACCACGAACACATATAATTTGTTATTTATCAGCACATGGTTAAGCGCTATTAAAACGTATTCTTTTTTGATCTAAAATCCACTTCGGTTACTCTTGTGAGCATAACTGCTTCAAAATGCACGTAGTTTTTAGTGCAAATATGGAGCCTTGCAAGCTGTGTCATTTTTAATATGTTTCCTAATTTTCCTGCTGAAATGTGTAAAGGCCTTCGAAGGTTGTCAAATTAGGTTTTTCTGGAAGTGAGGTGTGTTTCGTTTGGGAGTTCCTGAACAATTTTTATTGGTCTACTTATCTTAACTTTGCGTTGGTTCAAAGTACCGCCTAGAATTGTGTTAAGGGGTTCGAACGCGAAACACAATGGAGGCCTGGCAAACTCTCTTCGACGCCTTTGGAGCGCATTTCCTACTCACACTTAATGCAGATTTTTTAATGGATTCGCAAATGGCTTCACTCTCGTCCCAACGCAAATTTTAGCAGGAGGGTGTTCCTAAGGCCCTGTCATTTACACCGATCGACGAGACATCACTAGATAGGATGGTAAGAAACACTCAATTTCAATTCAAGCGCATTTACTTGGCTCGCGGATAGCCTTTTAGCTACAAAATGGTGTCATCATTCAAAGGTTGAAGAAAGTCAACAATTCAACAAAGGTGTCAATGAGAAAATGCGATATAAAATGTCCTCTAGAGCGCACACTTTTTCTCGACCTTGCACGAGGGTTAAAGTTGACACCGGTCTCAAGTGGCCATTACACATGCTCCATTGTTTGCCAACTAGCTTCACATTTCCGCCTCACCGTCCATCAGCGTGACACCTCAGAGCTCTGTAAAAAGCACGATTGTGAAGTAGAATTCATTATTAAATAACTTACAGCTAATATTGTAACTCATAAGGCTACTGTCGCACTAAGTCTCCTTTCAATGGGTCTCTCCTGTTCGAACTGATTGTATTACCATGTAAACTACTTAAATCAGCAGTCATCGGCAGAGGCGAGGTTTCGTAGTAGAAAAAAAATTTAATTATTTCGGAAATTTCGTGCACATTGGAAAGCTGACATTTGCAACATCAAGCAGCAAAGCAGACAACTTTCTCAGTCTGACGAAGCTATGACAGCTTGGAGGGTAGAAAGCTGTCCATGCCAATTTTCATTCAAAGCGCCAAGGCGTAAACGAAGTGTCATTTGGTGCTACCGTTTCATCTTCATCCTTAAGCAGGCATTGAAGTGTTCGAGGGACAGTTGTGATTCCTTGCATTCCACAAGCATTTGCCATATTCGAACTCTAATTCGATTCGCAACTTGAAACAATGTCACTGCTTCAAAAAAAAACGTGGTAGTTTTCCTTAAAGTACATCACAAATCTGACGGGAAATTCGCATCCACATCTCAGTGCAATCAAACACTTGTGCGAATTTTGCAAATGTTGCTTAAGTTGGTTAACAGAAGCAGTTATTGCACACTGAGAACTACGTCACTCCACTGTTGGGTAGTATTATGGAGCAGACGAGACAAAATGCCTTACGAGTACGGCTGTGTCAGAGAGGAGATTGGAAAAATATATTGTGTCAGGTCGCTGGTAGGACTTTTTTTAATAGGCGAAAGGGTACAAGTAAAGCCCAAGAGCCGTTATGCTTTGCAAACACTTCTGGACCCCATTTAATTGTTACTCACTTTTAACACTTAAATGACCCAAATTCAAACGCTCACCCGATAATTTAAACCCGCTTAACTGTATGTCTTCAACATCCCCTTAAATAAACTTACAAATGAATTGGCGCAGAAAAAGTGAAGAAACAAGTTTTTTGCAATTAATTTAAAGCATGACTAAGTGTAGATGACTGAGAGGTGGTCATAGATACTTACTTTGTCGAACAAAAGGTGGAATTCCTGGTGCACTCCACGAATATGTGTTTACTCGTACGCGTGCAGGGACGACTTGCGTGATTTGTGCCAGACAAGCGGTCGTCAGTGCTGCTGCACACTGCTTTCTCTTACCATGCTTTCACTCTCTCCCCCTCCTACTCCCCTCCTAATCCCCACTACTACATACGTCCCCTTGCTTGCAAGTGCATGAATATTTCATGTGGTATCAGCGGTACGTGCACGAGCCAATGGTTAAAAAGCACGGCGCGTGTTACGCGCTCGATGCACGAGTCCGTGGGTGCGGGTGTGAGAGGAGGAGAGAGTGAGCAGCGCTCTCCCCCTAGGGACAGGAGGGTTGAAGAGCAGAGGAGGAGAAAGAGACTCTGGGAAAAATGATTATTACCTAATGAATCTTTGATCAGGCAAAGTGCGTGCAAGAGAGGAGGATGGACTGGTGCAGGGTGGAGAGAGAAGAAGAGGAGGAGGAGGAGGAGGAAGAAGGTGAGGCAGGCATTATTTTGCGTAGCTCTGCAAACACGTGAGATGCTAGAAGGAAGTCTTGTGTTATATACCTTGTATAGGTTAAAATACTCTCATTCATTAACATGGTAAATAACACTTTTTACCCTTCGTATGTTCATGATGCTTTAAGTTTTGATGTTTCTAACAGCATAATGAGGCATCTATGCATAGTTAAGGCTAGAAGATTTACTTAAAAAAGGATATGTTACTATAGAATTGAAAATAACAATTCAAAATGCACGTCATACTGCATTCATTTTAACTACAAAGTTTATCACGTCAATTTCCTTTTACAAGGCCCATTATGTACACACAGAAGATTTGGAAGACTGCCAAGCTCTTCGCGAGACCAAGTATTTATGAATTATTCAAGAGTCATTTTATCATTAGGGCTGACTCCATTCTCACGGGCACGCCAATTTATAAGTTCTTATTTAAAAATTGGCTCGCATGTTATTTCTTTATCACTAACATTTAATCAGTTCTTTCGATAGAGAAGCCTTCCCTAGGACAACTTTAATGGTCGATTAAAGGATTCGAATTGAATATGAAAAGCTCTATTTTATTAACTGGAAAGTGCGGAAAATAGGAACAGTAGCCATAAAGGGAATGCCAGATGATGGCGTGTGTTTACTGTAAATTTGACAAAATCAAGGGTAGTGCAGTATTTCTAGTTAAGAGTCAACCACTATCACTTTGGCTTATGCATCATTGCGTACCTTCCTTTCCTCCTCCACCTTATTGATTCCCACATTCTTTCTTCATTGGTTAATTTAGTAGCTTTTTCTGCTGGCATGTCCAATGGACCAATCACAAAAGGGCATGGTCTCCCCTCGTGGTGGCGCGCTATTTTGTGATTGGTCAGCCTACTTGCCCCGCTTGAGTGCTCAGTGTTCGCGTGAGCGTATCCAATATTTATCGCTTTATGTACGGAATTGCTAATAAAGGCTCTTAAGTCTTGTACATTATTAAAGCCCACTTGGTGGTTTGAACGTTAAGTCCTCTGATTCACCTAACAGACTCCAAAGGGACTGAATTAAACATTTGCTATCGAGACTGCGCGCTACTCAAGAAGAGGTGAGTACGTTAATTTAATCGCTCATGCTTATGCAAAAGCAGTCGCATTTTTTTAATAAAATATTACGATTATATTTTTAAAATTCTCTGAAGCTCATCTATGGTGATTATAAGACTTCAAAGTGTATCCAGTTCAGAGGGCCACTTTATTTGCTCTCTGAAGGCCAATCATAAACAAAAATTCTAAGACCTTAAAAATATTCTAAGCTACTTTTCCGGCTCTTAGATGTAAACGACAATATAGGGGAGCATATCACAATGTGGCATCAACAATTATAAGAAATTAACATTTGTGAACAAAAGTTAGTTTTGGCACCTTCATTGCCACAAGTTGTCTGGATAATTTCAAACAAATTGTAGATCCGTGAAGTTTAATTATGCAATTTATTAAAAATGCACGTGAAAATCAGTAATAGACATAAAATTTTTGAAAGCTGTGACTGTCAAAGAAACCTGATGCATTTGTCCATAACTCCTGGTCAAATAATTACGTTTAAGCATTGACGCTTAAATAATTCCCAACGATGCGCGGTCAGGATCATGCAATTTTAGGACAGTCTTCATTCCAAAACGTTGTTGGACATTGCTAGGTGCAGTGGTGGTAGGTATTTGAAGATTTTTCAATGACGACAGAAGGTCCGCTTCAAGTTGGTGGAAACAACAGTTTCTCAAAAAATCACATTCCTACTCAACAGCAGCCTCTTTACCCATTTCAACGAGAGCAGTTTGCGTCTCCAGGAAGTGCTGATCAGCAACAATCACAACAACAACAGCATCAGACAGGAAGCCTCATGCGTGGCTACTCATTCCTTGCTGATCAAATATACAGATCGGTGTCAAATCCTCTCTACAAACTTGTACGGACTGTGGAGGACACAGTTGGTAGTGAAACCACTACTAAACAACCAGAAGATTCTTTTCAAAATGGGTATCAAGGTTATCAGACAGCACCTAGTCTAAAGTTTGAGTCTAATGGAAACTTCGAAGGTGAGAATACTGAAAAAATGACTGAACAACAGGATCAATCTCCTCATCAGGTGCATCAACAACAAAATTTTAATCCCTGGGGAAGTAGTAGCACGACGGGTGTACAACAATGGTATCCAAGATCTGCTGGTGATCTTTCACAGCCCTCGGGTGAGGCCTACACCACCAACAACAACTGGCCTACTGCTCACGTTGCTCAAAGTGAAGCTTCAAAGTCGGACACACCACCGCCACAATCATCGTCACCAAACAAGACGAATGTTGTGTTTCAACACCAACATCAATCACAACAACAAAACCGTTATCAACAACAGTATTTTCAAGAATGGGTAGAAGCTAATCACGCGACTACGAATGCTGTCAGTAGTGCCACCGCCTACTACCCACAGCAACATTTTGACTCTTCAACCACAAATGCGGGTGCGTCTGTTTCCCCACAAATAAATGAGGAGGTGTCTTTTCCACCAGCAGGCAACAGTTCTGCTGAACCACCTTCCTGTCCTGGATGCTGTGTTCCATCTGCGGCTACACCTCATCAAACTACTGTTTACCCAGACGCAGGGACGGAATTGCACAATGGTCTGTGTTTAGTGGATCCTATGCGTGCTCTTCCACGCTACTTTACCACAGGTCTTTGGCCTCCAGTCATAAATCCGGCAAAATTGGAATGGAATGGAGGTCCTAGTGTGACTGAGGATGATGCTCGACTGTTGGACATGAATCGTTTCTACAGTGATGGAAGCTATCGTATGGCAGGGGGTACCGCAACTGCAAGTGTCTATCCGGGCTATGTAGGGGGTGTACAGGACACAAAAGACTTCTTTTTCACTCCTTCACGTTACTCAACTGCTGGAGATACAGTCTTTCGACACAAAACCGAGGCGCATCGTTTGTCTGTTGCAGCGGCAGTGACAGCAGTGGATTGTGATCCACAAGAGTTGGAGGCCTTTGCAGAACGCTTTAAGCAACGGAGAATCAAATTAGGTGTAACACAAGCCGATGTTGGTAAAGCATTGGGTCGTTTAAATTTGGCTGGTGTGGGTTCCTTCTCTCAATCAACAATTTGTCGTTTTGAGTCACTCACATTGAGTCACAACAATATGCTTGCATTGAAACCCATCCTACAGGCGTGGTTGGATGAAGCGGAACAGGAGGCAGCAGCAAGACAAAAAAATCCCAACGCCTACGACATGGAGGAGGATGATAAGAAGAGAAAACGCACTTCTATCACCGATCCCGAGAAGCGCTCATTGGAGGCGTTTTTTGGCATTCAACCCCGACCCTCAAGCGAAAAGATAGCTCAAATAGCAGAGAAGTTGAATCTCAAAAAGAATGTAGTGAGAGTATGGTTTTGTAATCAACGTCAGAAGCAGAAACGAATGAAATTCTCCACTGTTGGACTGTTGCATCAAGTGAATGGTATGTGAAGGTGTGCAGTGGCTGGGAGTGGAGGGAGAGCCGATTCACTCGGTGCCCTTATTAAGGCCTTTTTTCCAAACCTCGCCCCCTAGTGTAAACATGTGCAATAAGTAACACTCCACCTCGCTATCACTTTTGCCGATATGTGTAAATATATATATTAATAAAGTAAAAGTTTACCTGAATTGTAAATTCGTCGATTTGGTGGCTGGTTGTTGAGGCCTATGCCGAAATGCCGTCTTCCCTGGTGAGGGCAGAGCTAAATTTTAACTGACCGAGCAAGGCGTTTTTTGACATATGACTTTGCAGCTCTTAAGGCTGAAAGTATGGTCATGTTTGTGGAACTTAGGCTCCTATGTTCCTGAGAAACGGCATAATGAAAAGACGCTG